AAAAAAAAACGCTTTCGCTCTGGAATGGAAAAGATTCTCGCTACAATCCATCGTTGACATCACTGATTCTGACTGAGGAATAAGAATAGGTTAAAGTTAAAGTTTAAGTTAAAAGTGGGCAAAATCTGTACCTCGACACACTCAATAGCAAACTGAATATCTGGCTTTTTCGATAAGCATATACCGAGCTCAAGCCATGCCAATGCATCAGGATCTAGACATTTAATTCAAATAAAGGGTAAGATTAGTAAAAAAAGTTGTGAAAAAATGGCAACTCACCCAGTTTCACAGCTTTACTCAGTAGTTCTTCACAGCGAGGATCATAAGCAACGCATGCATTCAGAATACGGCCACATTGCAGATATCTGACGGCGGATCGAGGATATCCAGATAATGGGACATCCTGGAAATATTGTTGAAATCACAAAAACAACTCAGTGCCAAACATTCTCTACGGACCTCAACGTGGAGCAACTAATTGACATACCTCTAGGAGCAGTAGTGCTTTCTCCCTCACAGTTTTAACTCGCTCAGCTTCCGTGCTGTTCGGGTATTTTTCGAAATATCCATCACGTAAATCAACTAGCTCGTCGATTTTCGACTCGAAAACCTCCATCCGTCCATCGAGAACACCTCCGGAATGGGGACACCTGAATCCTAACACCGGTTTAGTCGTAACATCAAATGCAGTCGACGCAATCCCGTTACGGACAACATAATTCGCTCAACGACATTGTGTTATCTTATAGTAGATTACTAAAAACTGAATAGTACCTCCAAGATCTGAGAAAACGATTAAGCTGATCAGGAGAATCGTAAGCACTCAGCTGTGCAATTCAAAGAGATTTAATGAAGGCCATTCAACGCCCCAGATTCCCTGACTGAAATCTTACGAGGTATGGGAGGATGCTGAATCTATCCATTAAACAATGAAAATACTAAATTAGCCTCAATGCTGGACATTCGAAGCACCGTTGCACTTGTGGATGAATCCTGGAAGGTGATGGTACGTGTAAAGGTAGAAGCGAGTGTCTCTATGGGTTTGACTGAGGTCGTAGACGTTTCTTACTCGGAAACATGCTGCTGAGCAACTTACATCCGAGTTATTAAAAACACTCGAGGCCCTACAAACATTTGGTCGCCCCTGTGAAAAGGTATTGGCTTCAAACTATATCTCTGTGTACTCGACACGCACTTCCTACTGAATCTTGAGGCCAAATGACTGCTCTTACAATTAGTTAAACGTATTATGAAGGCAGGTGCCTAATCAGCATGCACCATCTCTTGTACAGATTTCGAACCAGTCCTTAGGCCTAGAGAGTAGAAAGCCTGAAAGTACCACTGAACCATACTGAGTCGCCGGGCCTCTTTGGAGTATTTTTGAGAGCTTGAAAGGAGTATTTGAAATACGAACTGGCAAGTTCAGATGTTCCACTGCAACAGGATATTCTCAATGAGGGGTTCAATTGTGGAATTTCGGTATTGAGACAAAACGATGCTCAGCATTCTGGGTCCGCACATCTTTAGCATAAATACAGTAGCGGTAGGCAGACACTGGACAGGGAAACGACCAATGATTTGCAATAGGAGCTAGTGGCGGAAATATGAAATGAAAAGATCGAAACCATGAGTTCGCATAAAAAAATAAGAAAAAAAAAGTTGGAGAGGCACAAAGAACCACCCTGTCTGGCAGCATTGATTCTAATGACGGGCGGCCCAATAGTTGATGTGGGTCGGTGACCTACGGTTAACAACCTGCTTAAATATTACCTATTAGTCTGAAATATGCACAGCATTAATTGGAAATGGCATCGCAAGCCTATCCTGAGAAGCACTCTATTCTATTTGAGAAGAAGTTATCTAAAAACTTTGATGGTCGATCGCAGCAGAGCCAACCTTGGACCTGTGATACCGATCAGTGCAACCTCATTGGCAGTATTTAATAGCACAAAGATATGAGCTTACCAAAGATACAGGGTGTAATAAAAGCCTCTGTAGGCCACTCCCTCAACTCCACTTCTCTTTCATCGTGATGGAAGGATTCTAATGAAGTTATATAGGTACCCTGTCAACCTCAGATTACTGTATCTCTTCGATTACAGCCTGTATCCGTTACGTTATACAGGACAAAGAACTGTATTCTGAAGGGATCAAGGATTCTGAAGATAATCGCTAGTAGAAAAATGTCGCCACTTTACTTCGTACTCGTCGTAAAATGAAACTGTCAAAGAGCTACTTTTAAAAAACAATAAAAGTCCAATTTCTTACAGAACATTTGTAACTTTATTCCGCCTTCGAACACTTCGGTAAATATGGCAAATCCCGTTTGATGAAGTGATATATTTGCTCATATAACAACAGTCCAAAGCTTCATTGTGCCTATGGACAGGGAGTGTTTACAATATCAATGCACATAAGGCATCTTTTCTAAAAGATTTTTTTTTTNACCTTAATCTACAGGTATTCCGTGTCTCTATGGCGATCAACCGATGCGGTCAGACAAGAAAGTCTCAGAAGGGACCTGGCAATGAATTATGAGCGATTGCAGTTCCAGACAAGTTGCGCTCCTCTACTACTTCATTCATTTGTACAGGAACCGATGAGACCCTAAACTCGTCAATGGAATATTCGTGCTACTGTCAAAGGAGATCTCAATCAGTTCAAGGTTGGACATGACTTTTAGAGCAAGATCCTACCAAAAATGATTAGCTACATCCACTATAAGTGTTCTAGATACGTTCAACAGTACTGTAGTCCTGAGTATACATCCTAGTTTTCTAATGGATCCACGACAAAATAATGCATAAGAAATAGTTGCGCATAGATGTGTTCGCAACACCCAAGCAATCAGCGCGCGGTGGCGAAGCGGCTAGTGTCGCGAAAGCCAGGCTGCTCTCACTTAGTTATAGTTATTTTTTTTATTTAATCAACCGTTATGCCACCTTTCCCGGAATCTTCATGGTAAGGACTCCGTTATTTCGATTTGCGAAATCCCTCGAAGCGCTTTGCTGATGATCGATACTTATCTTTTCCTCGCGGACTTGGCGGCTCTCTGGCTCGCCAAATTCGCACAAACTCCAAACCCACTCCAATAGCATTCATAGACATGGGTTTAGAGATAAACAAAATTAATGTCAATTCAATTTGCTCATCGAAGAACTTGCACTCACTGTATTAGTTATCCTCTTACCGCACCACCAATCCACCTATACCTCCAGCGCCAGTGCCGGCTATATCTGAGCTAGAAAAAGAGCTGAACTAATCAGTCACATCTCTGCTAGTCGATACGCCTAGTAAATATACACCCAAATCGTTCGTTGACTCTAGAAAGAAACTGAGTTTGTAGCACAAATTTAAGCGTAATTAATATGAAAATTGAATGAGCAAAGACAGATGAGGTGACATTAGTTCCGAGCCCTTATCCGTACGGATACAAACATTCGAGAACATCTTAATGAGCATTTAAGTACGTATATCGTACTGCTGACAGATAGTCATGCATTTCAGGAACTACCTTTGAAGCTCAATGGTCAGAAGTAAAATTGATCCAAAGTCGTTATGGCTATGCCATTCTTTCAGTACTAAGTCATCCCCAATGACGTTATTCGACCGGTAACCATAACTTTTTCGACATCTGTCGCTGTCGTTTTTGATTTGAGAAATCCCAATATTGACTGTTTGATAGTGGAACCGAGAGCAAGCGGATGCCATGCAAGAATAGAGTCTGAAAAAAAAATATTGAAAATACGGTTGGATGGAATATTTCATGGAACGCCAACGTGGGAAGATTACCCTAAAATTCCATAGATAAGAGCGGGTGATTTAGGGTAGTTAATTCCTCAGTAAACTGCTCCTTTTTTTGGCTTTGAACTCTGTTAAAAGATCCTCCACCTATAATGATAACAGATAAGCCCTCCCCTCTTTATTGTGTTCGTACAAGAGGTGGCTTGTCTTAGTTAATGTTATCTGGTGGTGGGAAGTGTCAAATACTGGAAACGATACATTAATGTATTCCTAAAACCTGTACTCTCTTTTAAGAACAGCTCAACATTTGGAGTACATTGTAGTAGAGTCTGAATGAAGCGTTGCGTCAACTAGCATTACAAAGGCATCGATTGTAAANGGATACAATACGGTAGACCATGTGGTTTTCATAAATGCTAACTGAAAACCGATTAGATCTAGGAAAACTTATTTTTTATTAGCTGGCTCTTAAAAAATTATTTGTTTTGTGGCAAATTATTCCAAGAAAAACACTTCGTTGGATTCCTTGAGTATGTTTCGCTGCTTGTTTCGCTTGTTTTCGTTCCATACAACGTTTAATTAGTAGTTGTCAGTCCCCACAGGTTTGGAAACTGCATGCTCCTTAACGAAGCTATTGTTCTCTACGCTACCTCACTCCTCTTTTTTTTTTGAATTTAGCTAATTCTCAACCGTAAACTAACTTATCAGCTTGCTACTTTTGGCCAATTGCTCTTAGTCAACTACAGCACGCGATGCGAAGGTCCCACAAGGTTAGGTGAGCAAAACTTCGTCTTCGGATGGGACTTGAGGCCGTAGTCCTGCTTTCCCTGCACAAGTACAGGTTGGAGTCCCGTTCAAGGATTCAGTTTTGGCTACAATGCGTCAGCTTTGTGCAGCTTATCAGCATTAATTTTCGATTGTAGTAGAACTGTATCTAAAATTATGAAGATTCTGGTTATCAAGACTATCAAGATTACATCAACTACAGGCAATTCGAAAAGGCAGAGAAATCATTTTAGGGTTCTGGGACGATGTAGAAGTAGCGGCTTATAGTCTTGCATTATTTTGAATTTCTGTAGTTATGGATGGAGTTGGTGTAGTAGCAAATGGCTCTTTATCACACACACATGGTCACGGGTACGAATCCTGGATCGATATTCGCCCGGACCAACCAAGCGTTCCATCCCTGCGGGGTCGACCAATGGGCACTAAACTCGTCTGGGAGGATAAGAGACTGACTTGTCCACCGGCTGGCGCTGCCTGCCATTGTATAGGCCAAACACGCATTCAATACGCTACTACGGTTATGAATACAAGTCGGATGCGTGGGCGCATCCCTCAGACAGGATTGATTAACGCCCCGCCCCAAGATTTTGTCTTTCATCCGTAACTATGAATCGGCAAGCGCTTTATCCGATCGTGAACGGACTGTGCACCTGATTTCTGGTTATCCAAAAGGA